TTCAAAGAGTCACTAAACAAGTGGTTGTAAGTCAAGGACTACCTTCATTCTTGCCTTGTGGTAGGATTACCATTATTACTGTACCAAATCTGGACTGCAAACATATATACCACTAGATGGCAGCAAGGTCAGTAATTGAAGACCATTTGCTGACATCTAATGGTGGTCCATGGATTTGTAGCCCTGATGTGATGTGATTTGATTTGTCCAACTTAGCTAATTTTGAGAAAGGCTAAATGTCAGAGATGGACACCTATGGCATATTTGCTTCTTTTCAGGACATTTTTTTTAAAAATCACCAGCACAGTGAATTTTGATGTAAAGTGCCCATGCAGATATGAAGTGAGGTTCTTTTAATAATCTGTGTTTTACTCTGGAATTTTCTGAATTAGATCTCAGTTTGTAGTATTAGGGGGCAGACAATAATTTAAAGCAGGAAGACAAGATATCAGATTCAGTACTTTGGAATACTTGCAGAAGTTTCCTTGACTCAGTTCAATCAATATTTACAACTTCAATAACTTTGTATTTCAGCTCCCAGAATTCCCCAGCCAGTATGCTGGGAAATAGTTTTGGATTTTTGCTTAGCACATTGTTCCTTTGGTTTAAGGTTTTGTGTATTGTGTTCTCCATTGAGTTGTTTAAGGATACAGGCACCACTACTGTATTGACCTATAAACTGCAGGCCAAGTAAACAAAGCAATCTCGATTACAACAAAGCTAGTTTGTGGTGAACCTGGCCAAATGAAATTGTATCCTTACACATATGTGGCCTATACAATTATTTGGTTCATCAGCTGTTAACTAGCCTGGGAAGTGGAACCTCCACGTTCAGATGCAATACAGGTAGTCATCGACTTCAAACATTTCATTTAGCGACCGTTTAAAATTACAACAGCGCTGAAAAAGGTGACTTATGACGGTTTCTCACTTATGACCCTTGCAGCTTTCCCATGGTCATGTGATCAAAATTCAAATGCTTGGCAACCTACTTGTATTTATGATGGTTGCAGCGTCCTGGGGTCACGTGATCCCCTTTTGCAACCTTCTGCCAAGCAAAGTCAATAAGGAAGCCAGATTCACTTAACAACCATGTTACCAACGACTGCAGTGATTCACTTAACAACGGTGGCAAGAAAGGTCGGGGAACGGGGCAAAACTCACTTTAACAAATGTCTCACTTTGCAATAGAAATTTTGAGCTCAATTGTGGCTGTAAGTCGAGGACTATCTGTATACCTTTATATTTTATAGCAGGAACGAAGCATGTTCTTCTTCCCCGTGCTTCGCTCCGGTGGAGGGGTGGCTTCCTTAAAATTCCTGCTTATGCAGAATTGGTTTTAGCCAAATTTTAGTAGTAGTGGCCGATTATATATTTTTTTAATGATTTTTTAAAATTTCTACTGTATTGTATTAAATTGTTTTTAACTGGCTGTAAGCCGCCCTGAGTCCTACGGGAGAAGGGCGGGGTATAAATTTAATAAAATGAAAATGAAATGAAATGACCCCTTCGTATAATCGCTACGTTCTCGTTGCAGACGTGAATTAGTGCATACTCGCCGGCGGGCACGCACCCTCTCTTCTGAATGAGTGAGGGTAGATTCTCGTGACTCTTGTGCAAAGGGAAGGGAGCCGGAGGGGCCCGCGGGTGGGGGAGGAAGGCGAGGAGGCCTTTGCAGCTGGAGTTAATACAAGGTGTGTGTGTGTGGTGGGGGGTGTGAAATTTGCACGGTGCAAATTGGCCCTTCGCAGTCTTCAAAGGCCGGGTGGGAGGAAATGCGCGGATCTTCGCAGCCCTGAAGGGGGCGGGCAGGACCATCCACTAATTGCAAGGGAGAGTTGGTTTTACGTGCCCGCCCGCACACGCACAGGCCCGTTTGTGTGTTTACAGGGGGGGAAGCTGCTTCGCACGGCGCGCTGAACCCGCAGGGAAGCTCCCTCCAGGCCGTGCCTCTTGCCACTTTTACAGTTCAGGGTTTCGTACGAATTCAGGAACGGGGTTTGTTGAGTAAACCCCCGTTGCGTTAAGCACCACGTCCAGCATTTTCGTGCGAAAGCGCCCAGAGAAAAGACTTTATTCTTTTGCCTCTTGTCTTAAAAGTCAGCCTTGTGATCCCCCCCCCTGGAAGAAGCTCGTGCTGGACGGCCGCCTTTGCAGAAAAAGGAAATTAGGAAAAATGATAAGTCTCGTTTGTCCTTGGTATATTCTCAACGCGCGTAAGACGCCCGTTCCGCTTCAAATAGTAAATTAATCCGGGGGAAATCAAAGCTGCCCCTTTCAGATAAAACAATATATACTGTAATGGGACGCTGGTTTTCTTCGCAAAAGGCCAATCCGTGCTAAATAGGACCGCGCTTTGCCTCTTGGCGCAAATCCCAACCAAGCGCGGGCAATTCCGCAAGCCGCGGCAAAACGTTCCAGGGCTTCATGCGTCGTGTGAAGACGGCAGAGACGCTACATGTGCACACACCCCCCCCCGAAAGCAGGGTGCGCGTGTAAGGAAGGAAGCGTGTTTTATCTTGGCAAACAAACCGTAACAGTTCCTCGTTGTCTCCCACCCCCTTTTTTTCCCCCTTCCCTTTCTGCAGAAAAAAAGGCGGTAGTTACGACAAGGACAGAAGCGCTCTGCACACGCTCGAGAGAACTACTCTACGCAACCCCGCTTATTTGGCTGAATCATGGGAAAGTCGGGCAAATCAAAAGAAACGCTCTGCGCCTGCTTGAAAGTTAATCGGCTTTATTTGACGCGGCTCTCTTTCCCTGCGCTGGGGGAGATGCGCAGGCTGGGGCGAAGCCACTCTGCACATGCTCGGAAGTCCTTTGTCTCTGGCTGGCTTTTCTCCCGGAGGAGGAGAGGGGAAGAGAGGAGGAGGAGAAGCGGAGGCGTTGCACGGGTTCCGCGGTCGGCTCCGCCTCGCCGCCTGGCTTGGCTGAATGGGCGAGCGGCGGCTCAGCTGATGCAAGCGGCCCTCCCCGCCGCTGCCTATATAAGCCGAGCTCGAGGCGCCCCCGCCGCGGAACCTCCCTTCCCGTGTCTTCGAGCCGCCAGAGGCGGGCTGGGTGCCTTTCCATCAGCAGTGGCGCCAGCGCTGCGGGGCCCGAGCTCGGTAGGCAAGCCGGACGGGACGGGACGGGGGTGGGTGGGCAGGCGGGCGCGGAGGGGGCCTAGAGACGGCTGGCTAAAATTTTGCATCTTCCGACCTCATCCTTGCAACGCTGCCCTGTTTTTTTGCAAAAGCAACTGCGCGGCTTTCCTTTAAAAAAAAAAAAAAAGCAGCTGCATTCCGAAGATATTCTTGCACGGAAATTGGGGGGGGGGCGAGACGGCGAGAATGGGTTCTCCCCCCCTTCCCAAAAAAACCCCCCAAAAACAAAAACCCCAACTCAACCTCCCGCTCTCGCAACTCTTTCCCCCCCACCCCTCCTTTTATGCGGTTGCAAATTTCGTAGCGTTGCAAAGAAATAAAAAAGAGCCGGGTTTCTCGGTGCGTTTGAGTCCTGCAAGGGAGCTTGCGGTGTGGAATGGAGGCAGGCTGGGGAAACAGCTTCGTGGGGGGCCCCCCCGATTATTTAGCACTGAGGAGGTTCTCTCTGCGCCCCCCCCCACCCATCATTTCCTGGGGGAATAATGAAGGTCTTTGCAAAGGACGGGGCTGGAGGCTCCCTTGCTTTCTGTCTCGCATCCCGTCTTCTTAGGCGAAATTCATAGCTCAAAATTGATTTTCTTACGAGCCTGAGATTTGGGGGAGCTTAAGTGCCCCCCCCACCTCTAGTTCTCGATATCATGCCGGGTATTCCCCCCTTTCACTTAAGTATATAATAGAAAATGAGAGTGATCACGCCCCCTTTCATCTACGGTAGAATATATGCGCGGAGGAGGAGATGGGGGGGGGAATACTTGGATTTAAAAGAAAATGCATTATTGCAAAAAAGCCCACTCCTAATGGAAATCGGGGATTATGGGTCTACCGCCAAGAGATCGCCCTATTGCTGATGCAGAAAGGGGGGGGGGCGTTTGGAGCAGTTGGTTTGGTTTTCTAGACTTGGCGACTACCCCTCCCTCCGAAAATTTACGGATTTCTCCCTTTCCTGATTATGCTACATATGTGTCCCTAATGTACTCCTATATAGCCTTTGGGATATTTGTTGTCTTTTTTTTTTTTTTTTTTAAAAGTAATTATTTTACAAAATCGGCGGATGTATTTTCCGACGGTCATTTTGTAAATTAAAAAAGAGGTGTGTATATTGTACACACCCCCTTCTTTTAGGATGCCCCTCTCTCCCAGCCCCTGCCGTCTAAATTTGCTCGAATAATACCGTACATAACACTGCAGATCTACTAAAGGAACCCAAAAAAATATATCTCCCATTGGGTGCATTGCTACACAAAGGAATACAAACCTACTGCAATCTACTCACACCCCCTTCCATCTACTTTCCTCTGTAAAAAAAAAAAGAAGGTCCCTGGATCCAACAAATCAGAGGAAAATTGTTTTTGAGGTGGGGGATTTGAATGCCTCCTATTATGTTTTGAAGAATAATTTTTCAGTATGTTGCCCCCTAAAAGGATGCAAAGGTCATTTTAAAAGGATGGGTTTTTTTGCAGAGTAAAGTGCCTCTTAGCTATGCACATTAGGAAACATCTGTGTAGCTTCCATTGTAACTCTCCCCCTTAAAAAAGAGCAGAGTGTGTGTCTGTGTGTTTGTTGGGGGGGGAGGGCAGAATTCACTTTCTTGGAGGGAAGGGTGCCCTTTTCTGGGTCTCTGTCTAGCTCTTCTTTGTCCTCTGTGTGTTTATAGACTTGATATGTTTCACTGTCATGTTTTGGTTAGCCTGATCATTCTTTCAGCAGCTATTTAATCCAGCCAAAAATTGTTCTATGAATCCTGACATTTGTCTTATTTTTTTTTCCCCTCCTCTCTTCCAGGGTCTTTTTCAACCAATCCGGACAAGCTTCATCCAAATTTTTTTCTCTCTCCTCCCTTCCTTGTTTCTTTTACTATTTTTCTCCCATTCTCTTATTTGGAATATTCCTGCATTTTTAAAATCTCAAGATGGTGCAGAAGAAAACTGAGCTTAAAGGCTTCCATCGTTCTTTTAAGGTACAGTTGTGACTTTCATTTTTTTTAAAAAAAAAAATGATATAAAATAAGATGAATTCCTTTTGTTTTCAATCTTTGCTACTTTGCTTTTGGTTGTAAAAATGAGCCATGGGGTTTAGTTTTCTCTCTAGCAAATGGCAGCCGAGTTCTGAATTGCAGGGGGAGAGAGGCTGTTGTCAGTAAAAGAGGAAGTGGGGAAGAAACTACACTTTTGTTGGTTGTGCTTGCACGTTTCTGAGTCACACCAAAGAGTTACGGTAATCTCTGAAGAAGTGAGGTTGCTGTCCCTTGGGAATACATAATACTTCCTAAAATATTTACAACAGGTAGAAGTTTACAGGTGTTTCTGCAAAAGGTTGCAAGTGATCCGTTTCTCCAAATTTCTTGATGTTCTCCATCCTGTTGTAGCATATTTTGTAACTACTGAATAGGCTCTGTTTCCATTGGGACATTTGTAATTTTTTGTAAAATACATTTAATGGACACCTTCCCTATTCAGTGTTGTTGGTACTCAAGGTTTCTTGGTTTTGTAGAAAGGAGTTTGTGTTCTGTCACTTCACATTTCAAGTGGTACTGAATTTGGGAATGTGGCACTTAGATTCCTAGGGAAGAAATGGAACTGTCAGGGTTCCCAAATACAGATAGTCCTTGACTTATGACTACAACTGAGCCCCAGATTTATGTTGCTAATTTGTTAAGTGAGTTTTGCCCCATTTTACGACTTTTCTTGCCACAGTTAAGTGAATCATTGCAGTTAAGTTGGTAACACAGTAGTTAAGTGAATCTGGCTTCCCCATTGACTTTGTCAGAAGGTTGCAAAAGTGGATCACATGAACCTGGAACACTGCGGCCGTTGTAAATAGGAACCAGTTGCCAAGCATCTGAATTTTGATCATGTGACCATGGGGATGCTGCAAGGGTCATAAGTGAAAAATGATCATAAATCATTTTTTTCAGTGCTGTTGTAACTTTTGAACAGTCACTAAATGAACTGTTGTAAGTCAAGGACTACCTGTAGTCTCGGTGTTACATGCTCGTTGTAAAATCAGATCATGGATATGAATCATTAAATCCCTACTACACCACCATTTACCTTCTTATCTATTCTTGTTCTTGCCAATACTTTGTAAATAACTGGTGCCAAAAGTGGTACAGTATATTATTTACATAACACAATCTATCCCATGTTTCTCAATCTTGGCAGCTTAAAGACTTGTGAACCTCAACTCCCATGCTGGCTGGGGAATTCTGAGAGTTGAAGTCCATACATTTTCAAACTGCCAATATTCAGAAATACAGGTCTATCCCAATTTGTAATCTTCCAGTGCTATCTTAGACGTTGATGTTCAGAATTTCTTGTGGTCAGGTTTGGTATATATCAAATGATTGTTGCAGTTTAGAATGGCACTGTTGTTTAAGAACATTAGATTAATTCCTAGTTTGCTTAACCATGTATAAGACAAGTTCTGTGCTATTAATCATGGTTTCCAAACCCCAGTTCAATTGGCTGAATCAAAAGCTGTTACTTCGTGAACCCAGTGAGCCCTGACTTCCAAGTATATATTTTATTTTAATAAGAAATAAGTTTGTGGGGAGGGGCAGGAATAGAGAAAGTTAAGGAACAACAATGTTGAGAAAGCAAATGGCAGATTTTAAAGCAAAATACAATAAAGGCTTCTGTAGGTGTTGAATAGAAGAAGAAAAAAGTATGTTTAGGACATTGCAGGCTGGATTCACACATTCAGCTAAGACATGGTGTGGTTTGCTTATCGGTAATTATGCTGTTGTGTTACCAACACAGCGAGCTTTGTAAACCCTGGTGTGTGGGTTAATAAATGTGATTTTAGCCATGTGTAGTTAGTACAGTGCAGTTAATCAACTCTGGCTTAGTTTGCCACATGAACACAGTTACAGTGTTTATAACATGTGCTCTCAACATGATGTGTGTTTAGAGATTATAATTTTGGCTGCAAATCAGTTTAATTTTATGTTTTTCCATAGCAATGGGTTTCAGTGTGCCTTTTCTGGACTCAACAAGAAAAAAACCTGGCTTGGATTTTAAAGAGGATATATCCTTGTTTGTCTTGTCTTGCTTTTGAGAAAGCTTGACTAAGTGTCATCCTAGGCTGTGATTTGCAGTTTTAGCCCTAATGTGGCTATTGCAACCTCTGACTTTGCAGAAAGACCCAAGAAGCATGTTTGTAATGCCAGCAAGCTCACCTGTTGTTTTTTTTAAATGATAATTTGCAATTGTTCAAACTCAATTTTTGATTCATTTTACAAAGAGTCCCTTACCTCTTTCTTCGTTGGAGTAACTCTGGTTTGAAATTTTGTTTGCACCCCTCAAAATGTAAAAATAAGCTTCTAGTTCTTTTGAGTGATGTAAAGAAAGCTTATTGCTGACATGTCCAAACATGCCTGAAGATTCGGGGATATACTAATGCTATGTGGGTAGCTGAAAAAAACACCAATAGGGTTTGAAGAATGCAGATTGAAGGGCCCCTTCTTGGGGCATACAAAAGAGGGGTATGTCTGGCAAAATAAGTCAGTAAAGTAATGGAAGCCTTGTGTGAAAATAATTAGCATTTATTCATTTATTCTGTGCTCCTATACTGTCAGGTAGAAATTCAAGTTATTTATAGGTGTGATGTGCATAGTTTGTGTCTGGTGGAGAACAGAAATTGGAGAACAGAAATTGCAACAGTGCAATTGTGGGCTTCCCGGCCTGTCTCTTCCAATTTGCTGCTAGCTGCCTTGTTCCCATTGTGCAGGTGGAGTAACTGAGCCTGAGAGAGCCTCCCAGCCAGTTCAAAACCTGTCCTGCTTATGAATTCTACCCTGCAGGGATGACAGTCAGCACTCTGCTCAAAGCACAGGGTTCAGCCTATGAGGCATTCTCCTCTTTCCTGTCAGTCCATGTTCATCTTTTGCTGGCTGATGGCTGCTCCTAATTATGGGATGTTGGCATCCTGGTTGGCAGCATGTGCAGGCTGGCACTGTTGGGCACTGATGTAGGGCAGTTGAGCCGGTCTCTACTTTTTAATAGAAGCTTCTGTGGCTTAAGTTGGATTTCCCCTCCTTGAAAGCTGGGTAATTGCTTGTCTTCATCACACAAGCTGAACTAGAAGGTGCATAATTGTACTTGGAATGCCTTTTCCCTTTGTATCACTGAGTGTTGTATCTTAAGATTTATGATTATTGTATTTTATGATCATGATTTATCACTTATTGCTTGTATGTACACTGAGAGCTTATGCACCTGAGACAAATTCCTTGTGAGTCCAATCACATTTGGCCAATAAAGAATTCAATTCTATAGTTTGGGACAGTTGTTTGCAAGCTGGCACACAGGTTAAAATAGCTCCCACCTGGGCTTTTGTGTGTGTGTGTGTGATTTCAATGTCAGGTTGCTAGGCCTGATGGGGCGCTTCTGAACAATAGACGACTGTCAAGAATTGAGTATGGGGGCAGCTTTGAAATTTGCACAAACCTTCCTAGAGTCCAGATAATGGTCCTTTGATTGTAGGCATGTAGTAACAGACCATCCTGGTTTACTGTATATACTATGCAATATATACAGTATACTGGTTTACTGTTATAACTGTAGTTGGAGGATATAGAGAGATTTAATTCTATTTGATAATTGTCATGTGACAATAGAATAAGTCACCCTTCATCCCAGGTTCTCCAAGTTCTCCAAATGATTTTTGCAGGGTAACTACTAGTGCTGGTTTTGTGGATACTCAGACAACCTGCTTCCTTTTAGACCAGAATTTCTCAACCTTGACAACTTTAAGATGCATGGACTTCAACTCCTAGAATTCTGGCCAGGGAATTCTGAGAGTTGAAATCCACACATGTTAAAAATTGCTAAGATGGACAAATCCTGTCTTATATTAAGGTTTCATTGAATAGGCCATTTTAGATTTTGTTGGTACTTATTAAGTAATTAAGCAATTATGCTCTGGCATTAAGTTTCAAGATCCTAGTTTAGCTTAAACTCCTGCTAGTTAGGGTTCAAACTCCCTTCTTAGGGAGGGCTTATGAATTTTGACAAGAAATGCTCTCTTTTGTAGTTTATTCCATGAAACTGCCTTTTACTCTCACAACCTTGTGAGGTAGTCTACAGAGAGATTTGAGAGACAGGAAACAGTTAAAGTGAACTAAGTCTGTTAGGCCCTAGCTAAGTGTGTAGTAAAATTCAACTGCTGTGGCTTTTTCAGCCAGTAGAAACCATGATGACCTAGCCAGGGCTTACGTAAGGTTGACGTCCTGGGAATATTACAGTTGAATGAAAATTTGTCATCCTTGCTCCCAGTCAAAATTCAAAGCACTAGCTAGAAGTAACTGAGAAAGTAACACACTCCAGACCTGAATTCAAATACATTTCCCCCTCTTTTGGTCCATGGCCTTTCAGCAAATAAATAAATAGATGATGTAGGACACTAATACTCCTGTTAAAGGAAACAATGTTGTCTTAATTTGTCATTTCACCATTAAGGAGATCCAGGTTCAAACCCTTTGAGGTTTCAATCAATTTTAGCCTATCTAGCAAGATAATAAAAAGGGGCAGGAGTTGCAGAGTTAACTATGATGTCTAGGAAAAAGGGTACAATGAATATTTATTTTCATATCCCCAGTTACTCCACAAAAAGAGCAAATAGCTTCATGCCACAGAGGCAGAAAATTAATTCAGAATTGGAATCTTGATTCTGGAAGAACCAAATCTTCTGGTTTTTTCTTCCTTGCAAATTAGGGGTATTCATGAACACACAGTCTGTTTGCATTTTTCTTCCTCTTTCTCCAAAGTCTTTGCTGAATCAGTGGCTTGTTCTCCTGATGTCTTTTTTTGCAAATTAAATCTGCATTATATAATACCCATTCTCTTCACTCTGGACTCTGAATTTGATCACGGAATTTGGTTTGGGTTGGCTGCACTGAACATTTTGGGCAGTAACTTGAATTTCTTGCTGGTGTTTTTCCATCAGGTTTATAATTGC